AGAACTAAGGAAAGGAACACACACTTGACTTGTACTGCTTGGATGTACTTTTCTACTAGCGATTTCCCCATCGATTACAAGRAAAGGATCAGCACAACACGGGGGATCGTGTAGTGGTGAATCCTTTGAGCAATTCAGTTTATCCATTAGTTGAGTCTCACAATCCTAATTAGAGCAATCTAATACTACTACTACTAAAACAATTCAGTACACGTTATTTTGTGCAAGTACCGGTATGTAGTTTGAATCAATATCAGCAGGTCTACCCCCGGATAAGAAATAAATATTTACGTGTAGAWCTGTACAGGGCCTGGCTGTTTTGCATCTTTTTTCCATTTTTGATTGRTTTGCTGATCTATTTTCAACCATTAGTGACATCAGCAATTACTGTAGACTGTAGTCCAGCCACTTAGCCGGAATCAAGCTCTGCTTGTAAGATTACCAAGATAGCTGTTATTGTGAGTTGACACTAAGTTAATTTCTTTGTGTATTTTCTTCTGTGCATCACTTTTTGGCCCTCGTTTTACTGTGTGATGACTCATGGGATTAAAAAAATTTAAGCCAAAAATATGGTCGCCAGCACATCTGTKTGAAACTTAACTCACTTAACTTGTGGGAATAAAAATTCAGAATATGGTCGGCTGTAAATTGCAGTACAAGCCAGTTTTTTCGTCAAAGTACTAATCATTACACGCAAAAATAAGGGCCCAAAATCTATGACACCAAGAATGCGTTAGATCGGAAGGAGGCAAGTCTTGCATCGGATTGTAGTCCGTTTRGTTTCTCCCCACAAAAGAATACCGCCAGCCACAACCACCCGGGGCAGCGAAACTGAAAGGATTTGYAAAGATCAAGGGATTGACAAACATCGATCTTCCACCGGATCCATCYAAGAAGAGCATCCATCCATCTCCGTTGGGGAGATATATTCTCGTTCCRTCCGGTGCGCCCMCCCACYCCATGCCGTGGCACGGCTTTGTCCCTTTCAAAAAATCCCCGGTACCACAAACCCAAACCCACCGGAAGCAAGGAGGCTCACAACATCTTTTTTGCGCAAGGCAGTGCAAACCCAATGGACGGACCACCGATCSACCGATCGATTGGTGGTTGTCACGGAAACAASGACTTGGCTACGTGAGAACCCCCGCGTTGCGATACGGCGTGCTTCCGCGGCTGCTGCCGCTGCCGCCGTTTTCGGTGCCGTACCCCGCCTCGGCCTCGCCGGCTTCCACAACGGTGGASAATTCGCTGCCACCGGCTTGTGGMCCGCAGCCAGCGAGCTCGATCGCGGGCCGCCTCCTCAGGGCAACACGCTCGGACGACGGCAGCTCGGCTGGCTCCCTCGGCCGCGATGCGGTCGAGGCATCGCCACTCCCGGGTGGTGGCTCGGCGATGGCGTCGTAGAGATCGCCGTGGTTGGGATTGCCGTGATCGCTGCCGGAGCGATTGGAACCGCCGCTCCCCGCCACGTCGGCCAGGAAGACACTCCAAAAGCTCAGCCCCTCGACGGCCATCCCGAAGTAGAGGATCTGCAGCAGCAGCGAGAAATTGGCGCAGAAGGCCGCAAAGAAGGTCACCATCAGCACCGGATCGCYGYCGTTGAGCGTYGCGGTGGTGAAGATCCGCACCAGGCAGCCGACCGCGGCCAGCGTGGCCGTGAGGGGGCTGTAGTCCCCCTTGGTCCTCGTCGAAAGGTTGTGGTGGCACTGGGGGAGCAGGGCTGCCGTGTTGACCAGCACCGATCCCAGCTGCCCGGCAGCGAGGACCCCGTCGGGGGCGATSGTAAAGGCGCACAGGGATCCAATGGCCAGGAGCGAGAGGTTGAMCCAGAAGCAGGCTTCCCTCGTTTTCTGCTGGTACCAGGCCACCAGCGCCAGGACCACCAGGGACTCGATYGTTATGATAACCGTTTCGGCATAGGTCGATAGATCGTACCGCTTCCGCACGTAATAGGCATCGCTCAGCAGGTACGAGGAGAGCTTGAGCCACCAGGTCGACATCACCAAGCCATCCGCATGCTTCTGCAAAGAGATCCGGACCGCRATCGGGGTGTACAGCATGAGGGATCCAAACCCGACCAGGTATCCCAGCGCCCTGGCGACGAACACACGGAACGCGTTGCTGTCGTCGTCGCCTTTTGTCTCTTCCTCGTACCGAGAATCATAGTCGTAGTCCGTGTCCATGGTATCCAGTTCGTTTTGCGTCTTTGCACTATGCGACTACGGTTCCGTTTCCGTGCGATGCAWCAACAACAACAAGGGGAGAAAAGGAGTCCCTATCTCCAGAAGCAACATGTGGGCAGAGTTTTTTTGAATCCGCATCTTTYCTTCGGGCATAATTTCCATGTTTGCCTTCAAAATGTACGTGTGCTCTTTACACCCGCAGTATCCACAGCGGTGCGTCTTTTCGCCAGTAAGAGGGAGTTTACAGCAGTCTCGCTAGAATTATCCGCTACGGTATCTACTGTGGATTTGGCATCACAGAAAGATCTCAGCGCTTCCTGTTCTTCGTACTGATAGTACGTACCTAGGAAACCTATGAGTTAAAGTAGTTGGGTACGTAGCATATGACTCATAACCCATCCAAATTCCGAATCGATTCTACCGATACCGACGCCACAGTTTTTTGATCTGCTCGAACCGCTATGATTGCTGTTCTGTAGGTAGCAACAAGGAAACGACACAGGGATCCATACCGTACATTACCGTACGGTGCCACACATTGCTTGCTGCGAGCACCCGAACCGATCGAAGATGGCCCCCGCGGAAACCGACGCAGCTGCGAACACGGAGGAAGATCCTCCGATGTTTTCGAAATGGAGGGAATTCAACATCAACGACGAGGCAAGGGACGGCGATGGCGGAGCCGGTGGCGAAAACGAGGAAGACACCGCGGGCCTCTTTTGCATGTTCGACGAGGAGGAGGACGTCTACGAGGACGTCCGATACGACTATCCGTCGTTCTTTGCCGAAGGGGATGGAGCGTCGACCACCACGACGGTGACGATTCGGCACCACGGCGCGTATCCCAACTCGACGGGCCTGGCCGTTTGGCGGGGGGCCGAGTTCCTRGCCCGGTTTCTCTGCGACGCCCAGCAAGAGGCGGACCGCAAAGCCGGSCGCGAGGAGGACGGCGGAAGCGGCATCGGGGTGGCGGCCGTGCGTGGCAAGAAGGTGCTAGAGGTCGGAGCCGGGGCCGGCCTGCCCTCCATCGTGGCCCATTCCGTCCTCGGCGCGGGAAGGGTGCTGGTGACGGACGGAGACTTTGACGCGCTCAACAACATGAAGCACAACGTCGACGCCAACCGCAGCAGCAACAGCAGCAGCAGCAGCAGCAGCAAAAGCAACAACACCATTGCCTGTCTGCAACTGATATGGGGAACCACCCACGCCGAGCCGATCCTCGAAACGCACGGGAAGCAGGACGTCGTCCTGATGGCGGACTGCGTCTACATGGTTCCGAGCCTCAAGCCCCTGTGGGAGACCATCGACCTGCTGCTGGACACCGACGGGGTSGTCGTCTACGCCCAGACGGCGGCGAGTGCCGTCCCGTGGGAAGACTTCCGGGCCGCCCTGGACCGCCACGGGTTCGAAACCATCCACCGCGTGGCGGGCACGGCGGCCCTCTCGCCCTACGAGGCCGCCGACAGGGGCAGCGAGAGCGGCAGCGAGAACGAAAACGAGAACGAAAACGAGAACGAGGTCGTCAACAACCCCGGGGCTTCCAAGGAGGAAGAGGAATACGAGCGCGGGATCTATGTCTTTCGGCGCCGGCGCCCTTGAAAACGAAGCAACGAAACGAAACGAAACGAAACGAAACAAAACAACCATGCAAACGAACAGAACGCTTGCCGTGCCGCCGCTGAGTGCCCGATTCCCATGGTGTGAGAAGTTCGGGAAAAGAGGTACCCGGTTTGAAACTAGGTGCAATAGTGTCGAACTTTTCGGAGACAAAAGGACTCTGGTATGAAGAGAAGGAGATTGTATTGTCTTCTATCCGTTTTCGGAGCTTGGAACAGTGCACACAAAACTTCAAACTATCGATGTCACTTTGAAAGTAGGGACGCTAGACGGTGAACGATTTYTCTACTACTTTTGGACAAAAGTTGGAAACGAAGAAGAGCGTTTCAGGGACAACGGCGAGGGCCGATTCTGGTGATCGATCCTTTCTTACGGTACGCGGTTCGTCCCGATTACTTTTCGAACGGGAAAGAATTGGATGACAACCATTCCTCCGTATTCCATCTCTMRGCGACGAAAAAAGCCARCTGAGAAGGCGCGACAGTTTCTTTCTGRAAAGCTTCAAAACCTGGAATCAATCGTTGATACTCGGACCTATCATCTTCTACTGGGTTCTGTTACCAGTAGAAGCCTAGCAAATGTTGGAAGACGAACGCCGGCATTCTCTATAGGATTAGCGGYAAAGGGCTRTTGGAAAAAWTTCAGGGATGGYAATCTGCCTCGAATGTCGATTCCMCCTGTTTCTTCTTCTTGTCCAACCCTAGTACTAATGATCAGTCAAGAAGCTCCACACAATGGCTGTGGTGTACACCACAAGATTCTACAGAAAGCTTTTAATGCTCATGCAATCCGCTCTTCCATACAGGCATTGCAGAAGAGGGCAACAGCCCTATCTAAGAATACCCCTTCTATTCCAGTGGCGAATCACCAAAAGGAAAGCCTCAGGATGCAACGTGTTTGCCTTGGATTCAGTAGTACTCTGTGACAATTGGATCTGTAGCCACCAGATCTACCTGACCCAGCCGGTTAAGAATGGCAATRCCAATTCGAAATTCTAGCTATGATCAACACTGCACAGCAGCAGTCTCTTCTAAACCATTGTAACGTACTACTACTAAGCTACTACTAGTACTAGTACTTCTTGGTACTACTAGTACTGCAGTACTACTACTACTACCAAGAATCAGCGGTTCTTGCTTTGGTATCTTCATAGATTCCAACTATTGCAGAATTTATGTTTCAACAACCAGCATTATTTATTTCCTTCAYATGAATCAAAGGTGAAATAGTATTGTACTATGGTTCTTTTTCCTTGACCACCACTACTACTGAAACAAGAATGTGACAATAATAATATTGCTACACTCAGGATTCCGTAGTCTCATTTTGATCGATTATTCCCACTCGTTCAGTACTCGTAGTATCGTGAAAGACTACGAGTAATCATGCAGCCCACCAATTTTATTTAGGTCGACGGTAAAATCGTGGCAGATACGCGACCACATCGGCAGATCGGGATTTCTGGATACTCCTTTTTTCGAATTCTGGCGGGTGATAGACAAGAACGATTTTTTGCTACGGAGCAAACATCGGTGGGGTTTCAGCAATTCAATACAGCACCGTACGCAATTCAAAAAACAAAAAATTGGAAGCAATTGGAAGCAATCGTGGAGGGCCGACTTTCCGTTCATATGGAGTGCTAGAATAGTTCAATAGGGCACAATACTTCTTTCTMTGTCCACGCCTCGACTCAAACATGATACGGTACGGCAGGACACCCTTTCCACTCGTCATTTCGGCCCGAGGGACGTGAAAGAAACTGAATATGCATTGCAATACGAGATTTCTCATTCAAACCTACGAAGGAATGATTATTTCTTGAAGTGTGTAACAGCACAATAGTTCACAACGATACGGCTCTCCAATAGGTACTTGCAGCAATCATTGCAGCGAGGATTGYTCGATCCCCCGATCGCAACAAGGCCGAAGGATTAGCCCTACGAAGGGCGGTCCGCTCCTGATCGATTTGTTGATTGGATGGAGTTGCTGATTGCTGGTTGTCGGTTGGTTGTTTGGTATATTGAGAAGCAATGTCGACGTTCCTCCTTGATTTTGCTGACAAGATAGCTGACAGAGACGACGATRTYGTTGCGGGAGAGATAGAGGCAAGTGCCTTTCTGGCGTCGTCGAACGCAACAGGGTCGGATTTCACGGACGAAAACGAATATTGCAGCATCCCAACCGAAATATTTGGCAACTTCTCGGCCAAGGGGTTTCAAAACACCAACATCATCAAATGGATGAATTCTATTCCTCCGAGATTTGGCAGGACCAGCGACGTTTTGGATCTCGTGATTGGAACCGAACAGCAGCAGCGAGGTATGTGTTTTGAAAACATGCCGATTGTGCATGTCACAGTGCATCGGGTCGACGCGCATCGTGCGACGCTGTATCCTACCGAAAAGGGAATGAATCGATCGGATGTGCMCATATGATGCAAAGGTGTATCTTCGAGGTGAAAAGCAACGTGTGCATTTGCCTCACTTTTCTTTCTTTCTCTTATTTTAAAATTGCGTGCCCTTCATCCACGGGTTTCTAAGAGTATGTCACAGGATTGATGGCCTCTTCCATTGTTTTGTTGTTCTTTTTTCTGGGATGGGCTGCCTTGCTGTTGCTTTTCAAGTGCCTAGCCCCCTCGAACGCAGGTAATTCCACGCGATGGCTGGGAGGGAAACCCCTGCGAATGCCATCCCCCCCGCTCGACAGAAACGAACATTATGACAAATACCAAAGAAAAAGTCAGCAATATGCTCCGTCGAAAGGGGACGCAGAGGAATACAAGGATTGGAAACGAGAATACAACGCCACCAAATTTCAGCTGAATTGTTTTCGGGTCGTAGTGTGGATTGCCGGCCTTTCTGTTGTCATCTCCGCCTTGGTCATGAGCGTTTACGGGGTAGACTCTCTCAGCAACACGCTCGAGGCAGGCAGGGAGGCGCTTGGGATCGTTAAGAACCTGGCTGGAGACGCCCAGTCGATTGTAGATTCCGTCATTGCACAAAACGAGGACCTCTCCGGACGGGTTTATGGCATGTTGGACGCCGTCAACGGGATGTGTCCAAACGTAAAAGATCCCCTCTGCGACAATATTTACGACATTGAAACCTGCGAAATTGGTTCGTTTCTCGGGAGCGAAATGAATGATGTCTTTCAAATGGCAGCCAGTCATTTTGTCCAGGGCGAACAGAGCGAGTATTACAAAGAAATCGTGAATGCCAAGAATGGGTTGGAAGAAGTCCAGACCCTCTCGCAGGACATGGACCGGTCAGCCTCGCAGCTGAACTGGGCACTGACACTGAGCATGGTCATGAGCTTGTTCTTAGCGATTTTGTGCTTGTTGATTCTCTGTGGCTTGGTCTGYCCCGACATGCCCAGGGTGCTGCAATGCCTCCATAGCAAGGTGACGATACCCGCGTTTTGCGTCCTGGTGTTCTTCGCCTACCTCTTTTCCCTCGTGTTTGTCACGGCGAGTGTGGTCACGGCTGATGTCTGTATTTTCCACAAYAACACCAATAACATCGACGAACGCATAATGACGGTCCTCAGTAAATCYGATGACGTGGAAGCGTTGCTGGGAGGGGAAGAAACACAGAATTTAGTCACGGAATTCATTGGTTTCTACATTCACCAGTGTCCGATGGAGCTCCTCCCACAGGAAATCCTCGAGCAGTTGGAATACATCAAGGTTGGTGTTCCCGTCATAAAACAATTCAGCACAATTGTGGAGCAGTCGACCGGTTTAATTCAGGATGTCTGCGGCTTTCAAGAAAACCAGACCCAAAGCCTGGTGGACGTAGCAGATACCCTGCAAGACCASCTCTGTGCGGTGGCAAGCATCCTCACGGACGTTCGAGATTACATTCAGTGCGACAACTGGTACCCATTGTATGAGACGACAGTCTACCAGGCACTGTGCTACGATGGTACGGAAGGTTTTGCATACGTGGCTACGACGCAGTTTGTCATCACCTTCATGGCCTTTGTGATTCTGACCTTTCGGGTTGCCTTTTGGGACATTACGGTCGGGGACCAATACTACAATTTTTTGGACGACGACAGCGAAGATAGAGAGAGCTATAGCAGTGAGGACGAAACAGATGGCGACGGCAACCATTATTACTATAAGGGACTGCGCGATAAGATTGCTTCCACGAGGGCCACGGGAATGGAGAATCAWATGGACGAGTTGCGAGAGAGTCAATGGCACGAACGGCAAGAGCACSAACGACTGGCGGCAGAAAAAGAAACAGAGGAATCCCCTTCGACAGTCAAACGGACGTCATTCTTTAGTCGCCTGCGCAGTCCGTCTTCCCTAGACAAGACCATTGATACCTCGCCCGCTACCAATTCCTATTCCTTCGAAGAATCCTTCCACGAAGACCCGGCACACGAAGGGAAGATTATCGCCCGCAGTGATGCTGGTATTCGGAATTCCCGCTATCCATCGAGATTTCCGGGGAATATCGAACGRGAYAGAAACCCGGAACACAAGAATCCAATTTCTTCTCTRCAATCGCAGACCTTTGTTGGTGGATCGGGAACGACCTTTGATGGCGAAGACGGTGGAATCGAGGTAGAACAYCTACCATGCAATTTCAGGACCGACATTCGCAATTTTGGTCGTAGCTGCAATTATATAAGCAGCAGTAGCAGCAGTGCTAACAGCGGCAGTAGCCATCGCCGCTCACGCGCTTTGGACGCTACGTCTCTCTGGGTGAGGGAACACCAGGATAACATAGACTATTGCGATTCCGAAGGCGAAACTGAGTACTATTCCAAGGATAGTACCAATGTAAATTAGAGAGGGGAACTCTAAGTCATCCTTCATGGTCACCGAGGCGCACGATGAAACAGTCATCGAAAACAATCGGGAAAGAGAAAGTGCCAAATGCTAGACTAGAAGAAGGATACAAAAACATTAGCCAATGGGAAAGATCGTTCGGTACAACAACGTAAAGTACGTTACGAGATCGGAAGAAAAGATTGTTGTCCATCAATCGAATTTCAAGTTGTTGTTTGGGGTGCAAAGGAATCCAATGCTACTCGCATTCATCATCTATCGAGCTGAGTTTTCACCTCCACAATTATGTGCCTGTTGTTTACCAGTACTAATACTGCTGGTAGTAGTATCAGGAACTTTTTGTGAGCATCCAAACGTGAATGTTCAGAAGGACGCAGAAAAAGAATACTGCCACMATTTGTAATCCTACGACCGTCGCGTACCGTTACCCGCGGGCAAAAGTTAAATCTTTGACCATCTACTTTTCTTCTAGCCTACTGTAGCTTTTTCAGTAAATAAATTCTTGTTGTGGTGTCTGTTGGCAGAGACCGCACGAATGCTTCTTCTTGAGGTTGCTTCTGAAGCGAAAAAAGCAAATTCTCTCCTCGGATCAGATAAACTAAACTACTACAGTAGTAGTATAGCCTTAACAAGCTGGCTTGATTGATTCCAGTCTCCRATGAGTTGGTCTCCTGTTTATCAGGTCTGTCCATCGTTTGCTTGGATCCATCAAATTTTTGTGCCACGTGGAGTGTTTCTATGAGACGATGGTGCGATACGGTTCCGGTTCTAGAAGGACGGACGGACGCACCAATGTGATGGTTGCCGTAGCGTATACACATCGTATTACTCGTACTGTACCCGTACAACAGGACTAGTACTGCGGTCCGACTGTGAATGAACGTCATTTCAGCTCTCGAAGTCGTACCAGGTACCGTACGTACCCTACCGTACGTTACGTACCGTAATCTCCTCGCAAGTACTTTTAAGAAATGCAGGATTGAAAATTTGAAAATTGCGTCCGCATGCCGTCATTTCTTTTGTGCAGTGGCAACTGCAAACAGATCGATCGATCGATTTGACTGAACATCGTTGCCATCGACAGAGACACCGCCATGTTCTCACGCGGCGMCAGGAACAAAATCTACGGCAGCAGTGGCCAAGCCACTGCGCGGAGCTCTGCGAACAAGAGCCGGAACGGCACGAGCTCCGGCGGCAATGGCTGGATCCTTTCGGTCCTGGCGACCATGATCTTGCTTGCCGCGGGCGTAAACGTGTACGTGTCGGTCTCCCAAGATTTTTCGGCGACGGATTGGATTGCGGGGGCCAGCAYCCGCGATATGCCCCRCATCCGCGAAATGACCAGCACCACGCACATTTTGTCCACGGCGGAGAACCCGGTGTCCGTGCCGCAAAACACAGCGGCAGCGACGGAGCCTACAGGATTGGAAAGAAATGAGCGAACAGCAACAAAATCACTGGCAACGACGCATCCCAAAGAATTGAAAACAAATTCACCAACAGCGTCAGGATCATCGTCAGGATCATCGGCATCGAAGGAACCCGCACCGGAACCCGCACCGGAACCCGCACCGAAACAAACACCAACAACGAAAACCGTAGCACAAACCGTGGACGAAGGACAAGACGAACAACCCGACGATCGCACTGGCTCCAACAACAGCATACTCGACGAAATAATAGCTAATTTCACCGAACCCAAAATCAAGCTCYTCAAGTCCCAGAAGGAAATGGATTGGTTCCGTAAACGAGCCATCYTCTTTCGTGATGAAATCATCGTTRCAARGAAGATCCGCTCTTTCTATAGCAAGGCAACCGATGATCCGCTTTCCCGCTCTGGCGACCCCGATCACTACTACGCTATCGATCAAGGMAACAATACCGTTGCCGCCAAGCGCATCTACGACGAAAATAAATTGGCAGAGTTCAATAAAATGAACAACATTAGCGGCCGTCCGGATCCCTCCGAAGGACCCTACCTGGATTTTATGGTAGCCGGAAACCCCAAATGCGGAACAACTACCCTTATGGCCAATCTCCGTCGGATCGCTCCGATGCCTGTAAAGGACGTTTGTACGGGGGCAACTCACACCCTCCGCTTTGCTTACCTTAATTGGCCAAACGATCCCAATTGCAACGCCCTCGTAACGGAGCACCTGGGTCCGGATCAAACGCGGTGGATGAGAGGAAGCAAGTGCCCGCGCCTTCTCAACTCAAACCTTTTGCTGGGACACTCGGCCCTGCTGCCCTCCACAAAGCTTATCATCGGAATCCGGCACCCGGTGCTTTGGTTTTCGAGTTTCTCGAGCATGCGAGAAGACGCCCAAAGTAAATTGCWMACCACCTACGACAACATTGAGCTCTGCAAGTGCCCCGTCAACCCCCTCACGGGGGTCAGGCCTAGGTCTTGCGACTCACACCCGGACGAAAACTGCTTCGGGGAGTGCCGTTGCGGTGCCCTGATGTGCCTCCACCGGTCCCGTCTCCACCTGACGCTGGCGAGACTCGGCAAGACAGCCTTGTCCAAGGAAGAACTAAAGCTGCTGGCACCGAACGATAACGACGGTGGGGAAAACCTCTTCAACGCGAAGATTCRAAATCCGGTCTTTKTGTACGATCTGACGCAGATGCGCAATGATACCTACTGGGAGGACCTGGCGGGCTACCTCGGCGTTTCGAACGTACCCAACCATGATTATCGGGGGTCGCATGGCGTGCGCAACCGCCACAAGAACCTAATCAGGTCCTCCGCTAAGGACTACAAGAAGGAGAACCTGTTGTGCGACCCGCACCTGGACTTTTTCCGGTCGAAGATCATGRCATACTCCTACGAATTGGGAATGTGGATCCAGAACTACTGGCTTCCGGTGGCGGCCGATCCCGACCGTCCCGACGTGGTGGTGGCCGGGGGAACATCGAACACCAGCGCCACCGACGAGTTCTGGGCCATCGCCGAGACCTACAAGGTCGATCCCTGCGGGAGGCTGGTCCGGCGGCCCTCRGACGGCCTGTACGTTTTGAGGGGGGACGTGGGGGACGAAACCAACTCGACCGCGGTGGAGTTTCCAACGGGAACCGCCCCTCTCCATCCCGTCTACGGCCACCTGAACACCACGGCCGTGCCCCAGTGTCGCAGCCACAAAAAGGCCCAACAAAAAAGGACGAAAGACGAGAAATCCTTCGGAACTACCGGGMTCGCTCCGAGCAGCGCGGCCGGCAGAACCTGACACTCACACGCACCATGGCACGGTCCGYGACGAAACGGCAAACCAATCCTCGAGTCACACCCCGGAATCGGTCACTGGCACCAAAAACCCGAAGCCGGCAGCYTCTGCAACCGGTGAAGTATGCGTTTGCCCTCTATTGTCGTACAGAACGATGTTAGACCACGGAAGGACTGTTTTCCTAGCAAATTCAATGTCCCCACAGTGTCCCAATGGATAGAAAGAGGAACATTCCAAGCACGCATTCATCCCAAATGCACACTTTTCTGCGGTACGGTGTGTAGATCAGCCTTGTCTTTCTTGCCCGGACCTACGGATATGAAACATACTGCCGACAGATCCGAGGGCAGCTCTTCGTTGCGAACCGTGTTCGTTGTTGTGGGAGAAGGAAAAAACAAAACGCTTTTCCCCATCTCTACACCATTGCGCAGAGGACACTATCGTACGCAATGGACTAGGTCGACCGCAACAATAATAATGACGACAAMAACGACAACGAGGTACCCCCTGTGCAGTAGCTCCAGTCAAACACAATACGCATTGCCTCGCTGGATCGAGTAGCCCTGCAATGCACAAGCAAAATCGCATGTTCTACAAGACAAGCCACGAGCAATATACGTACACTACTAATAAAGTTCTTCTACAACATCGTTTTCCCATGGTACTACCCTGTCGAATATATGCTTGTCTCTAYGGTAAGCGCATGGGATGTTCCCAACTTTTAAAAACATCCATTGATCCTTCGCGCATTGGTTTGTGTCGGGGCGAAGATGCGTGGCGTTCTGTCTTTTCGCTCTTGCCCTTGACGCGTGACTCACTCGTTGCATGCGGACGAATGGACCGGGGGATCGATCCCAACCCGAGTCGCGCCGCATCGCATCGCATCGCATGGCTCCGGGCCGTGCGTCCGGCAGCAGCGGCTCCGCGGCCCGCCCGCTCACCCCCCGGCCTCCTCCGGCGGCGCCCTGTGGTAGATCGTGCAGAGCGGCGTGTGGTCGGGGACCCTCACGCCGGCCTCCACGTGGATTTCCCCCAGGATCCCGGGCTCGGCGTCGTCGATCTGCATCMCAAAGACAAAGTCCGGGGTGGACACGTCGCAGAGGATRTCCTCCGGGTGGACGCGGTCCCCCTCGCGCTTGTGCCAGGTTTCCACGAAGCAGTGGGACTCGTCCCCGCCCACGTCGTCCATGGGGGGCATCTTGATCACGATCGGGACGGTGTAGCTTCCGTTGTTTTCCGTTCCGGCTTCCGCGTCCGAGGACAACCAGCGCCYCTGCGMACGGTGGGTKCCTTTCGAAAAAGGCCCCGGCCGAAGCGGAAGGTGCGAAGCGCAGCTCGGTGGAGGCAACCGAAGAAGCGGAAGACCTTGTCTCGAAGGTGCCCCCGCAGAGAGCACCTTCCCCTCTCGGGCGCCGGGGGCCGGTGCTTGGAGAGAGAGTCCAAACGCCGCGCCGGAAGAGGARAGCCTTCCCGCCGCGGCCGCAACGGCCGGGAACGACAGCCGTTTCGAAAGCACGCGCGAGACGCTGGTCGTTCGAGCGAGACACATCCCGCCGCCTGCCATGGTTGTGGTCGGGTCGATGTATGTATGGTCTTGCGCTCGGGCRAAGCTTGTTCTCTGTTCGGGAGTGTGGTGCGGCAATTGACAACAAGGCACCGGTTTCGTCGAGGAACCAAGAGTTGTTTCTTTGTTGCTGCTGTTCGGAGTGGTGGTTGTCTGTARCAGTAACAATTTCTGTCTGGATGGAATTGGAATTGGAATTCTCTTTGGGGTTGATCACAAAACAGAAAGACGTCCGCGAAAGACTTCGGTTCGGCAAGGAACGATCTTTTTTGGAAAAACCGCACTTGTACGTACTGTACGTACGGAAGTTAGGTACCACAGGGGTTGTTCACGGAGAGCTTGCTTTTTTAAATGTACAAGTATGCCAGAAGAATTTTCAATTTCAATTCAGCAGTGTATGTTCTTTGTCAAATCAATTGCCTCCTCTGTCTCTCCAATGGGGGGAGACTCTCCCAAGAAGTATGAGACTTTAAGCTAGTAGTATCCTGCAAAGAAAATTGGGCTTCATCTTTTGATGATGCTTGTTTCTTGGTGTTTGACTATGGTCTACAGGGGCAATAAAGAATGGAATGTCCCCGTGTGGACCAACYACCATCCCTTGTGGTAGCAGCACAATTGTCAGATTTACAGTTGCTCTCAATACTAGCTCATCTAACAAACAATACTAGCTAGTAGTACTACTAGTAAAAGAAGTAACACCACATTCTTCATTTTTGGCAGCATCTGTCTCCCCCCTGTACTAGTATCTAAATACTAGAAATTTCTCGCCATCCACCAAGTGGCTTTTTAATTATTTTTTGAGTGCACTACAATCAAGAAATGATCACCATACTGGAATGTATGACTATGATGGTGAGTATGATGTGGTACATGCGAGAAATACTAATTCCAACAATTGTAGCTACCCAAATGAAATAGTAGTAGTAGTATTAGCCCAATCTTGTGTGCAATTATCTAACAAGAAAGRAAGCTACTAGCAACTTTGGTATTATGAAAGAAAAAGGATCATTCAAATTTCCAAGATGTTGAGCTTATCTCCTCACCCATARATAAGGTCCTCCTCAAACTTGGAAATTTGCTGCATACCCACCAGCAGGAGAAGGGGGAGGACAACAAAAACRACTATATCCAAAAAAGAGTGTACTACCCCAGGAATTTTTGCTGGAGATTGTTTCAGAAAGTGGAGAGTTCCAAGTTTTTGCATGCGCTTAACAACTATTGTAGTCTACTAGTACAGTGAGGGGTCTACTACTACTASTAGTAGTGTCAAAACAAGATTAAATTTTTAATTTTGTCTCTAGATCTGGAAATGATCATGATCATGGGTTTGCAAGTGAACCTCTGGTGGTGTTTGGGAAAAATATATTACAGAATTTTTAAGCTAGATCTTCTTTGTTCATGTCTGGAAATAGCCAGAATGGACATTCAGGAATGCATCTTCTGGCAACTCATTGCACTTCCTTCTTCTTGATGGTGGTGGTTGGTCTGCACAGCATGGTGATTGCATTGCTGATATAATTTTAGACAAAAAGCCAGTTCTTTACATAATACTACTAATGTTCTTGTAGTAGTATTGTTAATACAATGTACAATTAGTATTGTACTTTTATTCTTATTAATACTAGTACAAGAAGAACCACAAAAGAAGAACAAGAAGAAAGAAGAAGAATGGTAAGAAATTGCTGGTGGAATCATACCCCAGGAGGTTTGAAGATTCTGCATAAGAAACAGTCTTTGTTCTACAAAATTTTGTCCACCTGTTTTCCCTCTCAAGTGATTTTTACCAGCTGTTTTTGAAGYATCAGCACCTATTTGCTAGTGCTAGTAGTAGTAGTACTACTACTAGCTAATTTTTGTCACTGTATTGGAACAAGAAGAAATATGATCACCATCTGTTGCATTYTGCCAATCAGCACCTGTTCATGACTTTTGATAAAATGCGAAAASGGCTTCGTCCAATCTGCACAACTCTACGCATACGAGTTATCATACCCTGCTTCAACAAGACCATTGTCAATGCHGTTTTTGATGCTCCATTTGTCGTTTGACCAGGCCAGACTATGACGCTGGGCAAACATCACGAAGAGACCCCTCTCTTAGGTGCCTCGGAATTGCCGAATGGATGGGAACCCGCAGAGAACGAGTCCGACCACCTYTTCCCGGAAGACAGCAACGACACCAGTCACACAAAAATCAACGACGACTACATCATTTCCTTGATTCGGAGAACCTCCGGCCTCAAGCACCAAGAAAGCACGCTCACCTTTGACAACACCACCGGCGAGCGCAAAGAACTGCTAGTGGCAGTGGYACCAGAACCAAAGGGCACGAGCTTTGGAGAAACAATCATTCACYTGGTGAAGGGCTACATCGGATGCGGGATTTTGTCTCTTCCGTGGGCCATYAGCCAGCTTGGAATCCCGCTTGGATTGCTGGCGATTTCGATYATGTCYCTTTGGAGCTCCTACAACTGTTGGACCGTTGTCAAGCTGAAGCGGTACATCGAGCGCACCACYATTKCAGATACCAATGGAGAGGAGGAGGAGGACGAAGAAGAAGACGAGGACAACTCGGACAACGACTGCGAAGAGGAACCCACATCGGAGCCCGACGACGACGAAGCCTCTAAGATTTCCTATCTTGCGTCGGCCAGCGTCGCATCCTCTAACGTGACGTACCCRGATGTCGGGGAGTGGGCCTACGGGAGGCAGTTCCAGGCCTACGTGGCCGTTTGCATCTGCGCCCAGCAGCTGGCCATCTGCACCGTTTTTTGCAGCTTTGTCGGGGAAAACGTCTACGCGACGCTCTCGTTCCTGGGCGTGGGTGGACCCTTTCTGACCCGGAGGGCCGTGGCGACCGGCTGCCTTCCATTTTTTGTTGGCCTCAGCTGTTTCCTGCCGAACCTCCGGAGCATGGTCCCCTTTATGACGCTGGCCACTGTGYTGATGGTGTCGGGYTTTGCCACCCTGGGATGGATCGGCCTTCTAGAGTGGGGAGACAGGCCACCGCTCGGCGAGCTCCCCGGGCTCACAATTGATCGCAGTGCCGCCATGGCCCTGTGCGGGATTCTCTACAGCTTTGAGGGGATCTGTATTATCCTGCCGGTKGAATCTTCCATGAAGCAATCMAGCAGGCGGGACTTTGGGCCGGCATTTGGGATCAGCATGGCGATCATCACGATGCTCCTGTGTGGGATGGCCGCGATGGGTGTCCTTGCCTTTGGGGAGGTTTCTAACGGAAGCATTACGGCGTTTCTGCTCGAGAAGTACAAGGGGGATCGGGCTATTACTGTGTGGCTGATGCTTTCCAACGCACTGGTGACGCTGAGCATTGCGTTTTCGTACCCCCTGCAGCTCTTTCCGGCCGTCGAGCTGGTGGCCCCAGCGGTACTGAACTGGAGGAGGATGTGGAGCCGGAGGCAGCAACGAATGCTGCGAGAGCGAAGTGGGCTCTGGAATCGGTTCTGGACGAGGTTCACAACGAGGGGTGGATCCAGCCATCGTAGAGATAACTGCCAGAGGGAAGAGAACACCGRCRACGACGACAATGACAATGATAATGACAACGATGGAGATTTAGAAGGCTTCGAGCCCATGAGAGGGATTCCRGAACACAGTGTTCTATCGATACGGTCTTTGTCGTCAATGCCAGACTCTACCTACCAGGAGAGTAACGACGATCCCCAAAACGATGCAGTARCAGTACCACCASCASCAGCAACACGTGATGATGTACAAAGCGCATTTTATCCAGCAGATCCATCTGCGAATGGCACGAAGGGAGAAGCGCAAAATGTTGCCACAAGCCAAGGAGCRCCACAAAACAACAACGGCGCGATGGATCAAGAGACGACCAAAACGGAAGAATCSGTATACGTTGGAGGAATCAGCGAGTCTACAAGCTTGCTGAGTCGCTTGAGCAGCAACATCAGCAACCATCGATCGATCKATGATAGCGAGGACGACAGCATGAACGGGGATAACTTTCGAAACAGAACCAACAACAACAGCAGCGCTCAAAACGAKCAGGTGCCCCCAGCAGAGGAATCCGCTTCGGAATGGACCCTGCCCGGGGATTCTCCCGTMTTGCGTGGGGCATTGGTGGTAGGAACCTATCTGATAGCCATGTCGGTTCCAAACGTCCAGTCCCTRGTTTCCCTGGTCGGGGCCGTGACGGGTTCTTCGACTGCTCTGCTGATCCCGCCGATCCTAGAACTAGCCTACCTTTCGCACAAAGAAGCGATGGAACTACAGCGGACGAGACCGAGACAATCCTTTCCGCCTATGGGGGACTGGGAGGGGGGCCCTTCGGCTGCCTCAAAGCGATCGCTGTTTGGATATTCTTCAGTCGGAACTATCCACAACAACAAAAACAAGAACGGCAACAATCCACYACAACAATCTGCTAGGAGCAGAAAGCGAAGGAATCGGTATTTCTGGGAACGAACTATATCATGGTGTTTGCTGATCCTCGGATCAATCTTTGCCGTGGTCGGATCGTATTTTTCGGTGATCGACATTCTTCAGAGCTACTCATAATTCCATAAGGTSCTGGTTGGTTCGATCGATCAAGGATTTCTATACGCTACGACAGGGTTTCGATCGAAATGCGAAATAGTTTCATTRTGCGCAGCAGTGTCGTGTCCATTACGAATAAAGTTTTGCGCGGGTCGGGAGGATCGAACCATTTTTCCTACAACGTTACCCGCGGAGTAAAGAACGAAACTTGCGTAAATGTCTCTGCAAAACTCTGTCTTCTGTGGGAATGGGCTAGACCAGCTATGGTCCAGAATGCGTCACTATAGATTTGGTAAATCATTTGAAGTAATTCGCACAACAAGATCGTGTGGGCTACAAATACRTGAAAAAATAGGCATTCATGCCTCCTACGTGCATGTCATTGCTACTAGTATAAATACCACTTCTGTAATTCAATGATATCCAAAACAACACATTTTCGTACACACATCAGGAGACACTATGGAGAATTCTTTTCTGGTCCTACTATAAGAAGGCACCGTGTGAGGATAGACATTGCGCTCTACTACGCTCGTATCKGGTAGTAGAGCTCAAACCCATTCGATAGCGATCAACGAAATGTGCGTTAGAGACACTTCAAGCCGTTGGACTTCTACTACGTAGTACGTSTACGCGACACCATGCAGCACGATCGGTATGATGAATGCTATTTTTTCGGAAAATCTGCCTAGCTCGTGGAGCGGCTGGCAACTTTGTCTAAGATTAGGACTCGAAGTCCTATTGATTCATAGTTCGGTATTATTCATATCTTCTCTTGGTCTTCGCGTTTTTGACAACCTGAATGTTTCTTATGAAATTGCGTAAGAGTATTCTCGTGAAGGCGCCAATCCAACGGTCGTGATGCCAAAACAGGATGGTTTTCATTTTTTAGTCGTAAGTGTTAACGCCCAAATTGTTTCTGCGGTTAAACGAATACCGGCAGGCTCACTTAAAAACCCAAAATTTCGTCGACAAGCTTACACATGGCTTTTGCGCGCACCGATTTTAGTGAGGATAACTTTTCCTCGTAAGATTTGTACCAACATTTATCGTGTTACTAGACTGGAACCGACGTGACACATCTTTTTTCGAAAAAGTAGGTGTCTTGAAAAACTATCCGGTGCTTGAAAARTAACTCGGCGGTGCTCATGCCTTTTTCCAACGCAAACTACGTAATCGTACTCAATCGAATACGGTTCCGTCCATTACTTTTTTGGATTAACTTCAACAGAACTAGTAATTAGTAAAAACCACGATAAAAACAGAGAATTTCGTAATTGAACACAACAAGAACTAGGTGGCCTGGGTAATACACCACATATATATTTCGAACCACCTCAAGTACAAGGGTTTGTGGCGACCGCGACACGGAAATCTTTCGAGAAACAATGAGAAAGCAACGGGAAAACAAGGGGAAAGGGGAAAGCGGGAGCAAAGGGGCTCGCGTGGTATTACCCCTCCATCTGGGCGATGGTCTGGAYAACTGGGGTAACGACGCCATGGARAGTAACAGTTTCAACGGTAGCATGATCCGGAGCAAAAAGAAAAAGAAGATGGACGCGTACACATACTTTGTCCTTGAACTACAACACGCCATGAAGTTTGGAAAATCGAAGAGCTATTCTCCYGAGTCCGCYGATGCGTTGTTCCGTTGCCAACTCGATTTGGAAGATGGCTCCACGATAGATAACGGCAAAGAATGCGACGAAACTGAAAAGACCGCAAATATTTGCCAAGACGAAATTTCGTTTGTTGGAACCGACGATTCAGACTCCTCTGACGACGAATCATGCAAGGTACAAACTTACCACAACATCATTGGTGCYACAAAGAATGGTCAAGACAGCGCTTCATACTTCTGGCGAAGGCGCCGTTATGTTTTGAGGCGCCGGTGTGTTCTTACRCTATTGGCGATCCTCTCGGTCGTCCTGGTGACGCTTTTGGTATTCCGATTCGGTGGCTTCCTCAACACAAGCGAACTAGCGAGTGAACAAATGAATCATATYATCARCAGCGTGAACATTACGAACGTCAAATTGAACACCATATGGGATGTTGACAATACCGATATGGGCGTCTGAGGACGATAATATTGAGAAGAGACACCAGGAACTACCTCTGCAAAACAAAACTTCATGGATCGTTTGATTTGCCTGTGTTGATTGGATGAGCWYCTCATCCGAGATTAGGAAAACCCAGCACGACACGTGAGTCTATCACTACAAGAAAAACAATCAGCACTATGCCTTAGTACTAGTACAATGTCCACCTGTCACGGAATAATACAAAATAGTACATTTTTTATTCATAATTCAAAATAATAGCCACAGTGCCTTTCTCTTTTAACTTTACTTTTTGACAATGCAACTAGACTCGATATCCCTACCTTGAACTTTTCAGATTTCAGATTTTGTTTTCTCTCGACGCAGAACCTCCCCTCACGTKGATGGTACACTGCAAGAAAAGATGAAAACCAGTGAACATTGCGTTTGCTGTGATCGTATTATTAAATGCRATGCTGATCCAAAAAATAACCGGGACTGTCGCGGTCCCRTACTTGGAAAGGAGAGAAGGAAATCTGATCTCGTTTTAATTCTTTCAAAACAAGCMATGKCACCTAGGGTGAGGTTCGCCAGACTMTTGATGTCTGATCGCGAATCCTAGTTCTACTATGGATTGTAGTTTGATACGATCCCTCCATTACGATATCTTTCGATGAATGGCATCGAAGAGGGCAATCTTTTACCCACGATGTTCTGCATATGTCTAGCTTTCAAGCTTCTCGTCAYMGCCTTCCACTTCCTCGGGGTCGACATCGACGCGGACGGGGCTGTCCACCCTCCACCCCGTCGGCAGGTATCTCGGCTGAAGGGTTTCGACGAAGAAGTTCCTCCACCCCACCACGAATTCCTGGATATCCTCGTCCGTTTGGCACARGTTGTCCAYCACCAACGAAGCCAACGGCACGTAGTTCGGATTCGGTKTCTCGGCTTCGAGGGCGAGGGCCAGGTGGCGGAGGACGGCCTCGGAAAGGAGAATGCTCGAATCGCCTACACCCTTGCCGTGGTTGTCTGTGATGGGAGGGATGCTCGGATMGATCGCTTCTTTGCTTGCGGTTCTCTTTGCCAGATACCTTTTGAGCTCGTTTTCGTACTCGTCGATGCGCGATTGCGGCAGCTTGCTCTTGTGCTGCCAAAGGGCCCGTGCCTTGCTCTTGATCGCCTTCGCCTCGAAATCGATGACGACCGCGGGCCGTGTCGTGGGATCGGTGCGAAAGGACTCTTCGTAGACATCGGTTCTAAGTACCTTGGCCGCTTGTTCCGCATCGATGTGGCAATCGAGGCAGAGCAGAACCACGTCGTGGGGCATGTGGGTCTTGAACTTGGTCGGGAGGAGCCTCCGATAGGCGTAGGGGACCACGTAGTGCCGCATGAGGCCCGTGGTGGCGGTAGTCGATGTTGATGTTGCTGCTGCCGCCGCGGCATTTTGCGTCGGCGGTGGAGACAATGATTCCCCGTCGGTTTTGTTCGCGTTGGTTCCGCTGGCTTCCGCAGACGCCGTGGCATCCAATGCCCCACACGAGACGCAGATGTTCAGTTTGTGTGTGCAGTTGTACTTTCTCATTTGTTCCTCGTGATCACTGTCGACAACGTTCTGGCCACAAGAGGTGATTCCGGTTTCGCCGGACGCTGGTTTTGGTGATGATTCRTCCGTTTTCTYCTTTTTGTGGTTCTTGGGCTCGAACAGCAATCGAATGGAAGGGGTTTCGTTTCCGTTCCCGTTCTTGTCTTCGTTTTCGTGTTCTTTCTCCTCACCACCGGCACCTCYCGTCCTTCCTTGTAACCAAACAGCGAGTTCCTTGCGCACGTACCAGTTGGCCTTCTTTCTTCCGATCGTGCAGAGCATGGTGGCGCCGTCGGGGGCATACATTTCGATGTTTTCGTAAAGGGGTGTTTTCCGGGCCAAAAACCTCACGCTCGCCTTGCGCCGTTCCTCCTTGTGGAGCTCCCTCTGTAAGTGCTGCGGGAGCTCGAAGAAGGGAGACGAAGACGAAGACGAATCGTCGCCATCGTTGCTAGTTGTTTTCGATTTTGGTTTGCCCCAGTCGCCTATGGCGCCATTCCCGCTCCTTCTGTCGCGCTTCTTTTTATTTGCGCCATCTCTCTTCGCGGTGGCCTTRCCATGGTGGTGACAACAGTACCAATAATATCCAACCGAGGCGATGCATGTAGCAGCCGAAACTCCGATCAAGACGACGACCCCAATACCGCCGTCCTTTCTGCTGTTGGATTTTGTAGTGGTGGCGATGGCGTTACTATTTCGTGTTGTATCCATGCTACCAGAGGAGAAACCACCGAGGTTGATTGTTTGATCGGTTGCGTTCCGCAGCCTTCTTCTTTCTTGCCTCCTGTCCGCTCTAGGAATTGTTGTGATTTGTGTGCTGTTGTAACGGTACCGGACGATGCCGGACGCTCCCCTTGTTGTCACTTCAACCGGATGGACTGTTGTTGTGTTGTTCCAATCCACACACACACACCCATTCAGACTGCCAATTGCTTTCCAAATTTTTTTGACGTCGAATCAATTTTTTTAGAGTGTTGGGAGCGACGGATAGACGCCAGACGACCAAACCCAATTGGGTGATTGGTTGCGGCCGCCACCATTGTTTTTTTTTTGGATGGCAGCGGCCAGAAAAACTTACTACCGGTACAGTGCAAAAACTAGGTTATTGCTAGAATGAGTGATTCCCGATATTATAGAAGTGCTAAACTGCTTATATAGCATTTTTATAACATCGGGAATACAAATTTCAACGGACAGACCCTGAGCACGCCAACTCCATGCCAGTCTTTTTGGGAATCTGGAATCTTAACTATTCCTCCAACGTAAAGACTAAAAAGACTCAAAACGCGCCATAATAATTTTGGTTCAAAGTAAAACATGAAATTTTCGATACTCAACAACTAGAGTAAGACATAAACTCATTCCTACTTATTTTCCTCATTAGAAAATAAGTTGGAATGAGTTCATGGCTTATCAACCAGCCGACAAACACACTAAAAGACAACAGTTTCCTCCAAGCAAAACAAAAGGCAACATCGACCATCGACAATGGGATTAGTGGAAGTGATAACAATGTACTGGTACCTCCAGTTGCAGTCTGAGGAAGAGCGTCGGAGCTACAAAAGCAAACTGACTCCAGAAGAGAGACGTCGAAGGGACAGGAGAACGCCAAGGATTGCAATCAGAAGATACGCCTCTTCCCCTTTCCTTTACATGTTCCACTCAGGGGATGACCAAGCATTGCTCAATTGCTGTGGCATGGACCACAAGGTCTTCAGGGAGCTTGTTGACCTCTTTGCTCCAGTATGGAACAAGTACTCTGTCAACAACAACAATGAGATCGTGGAGGTTCCTTGTTTCCCCAGTGGGAAGCCCAAGGGGAAGAAAAGGGAGGTCGATGCAGTCTGTGCCATTGGATTAGTGCTGTATTGGTACAGGACACGTGGATCCGTAGCAAGGTCAATGGMAATGGCCTTTGGCTTAACATCCACAGTGATGTATAAGTGGCTTAAGTTTTCAAGAAGAGTGATGCTTGTTGCTCTTCACAAGCATCCAGAGGCCATGGTCAGGATCCCAACTCAGCAAGAGGTGGATACTTATGTTAAGGCAATTGGGGACAAGTATCCAAGGCTTGGAGAACAACGCATCTGGGGTGCTGCAGATGGGCTCAAGCAAGTGATTGAAGCCTCAGGAGACTGGTACAAACAAAGACCTTTTTACAATGCATGGAAGGAGAACACCTACTACGTCAACAGTGTATTTGCCTTTGCACCGGATGGAAGGATCAGGATAGCAGTCTACAACTTCCCGGGGGCCTGGCACGACAGCGCCATTGCTGAGCATGGCGTGTACCAAAGGATTGTGGAGGTCCATGAAGAGTGTGGTGGAAAGGTTGTAGTTGATTCAGCATTTGCCCTGAAGGAATACAAGGATAGCCTAATCAAAAGCTCACAGAGGGACCCAGATCAACCAGAGTGCATACTGCTCAATAGGGACGYGACCTCCTTGAGACAGATGTCRGAGTGGGGAATGCGTATGATCCAGGGACAGTTCCCTAGAATTAAAGACAGGATGTGCTTGGAGGAGCAGGGGGAAAGAAAGATTACCATGAACCTTCTTATCAACTTGTATAACTACCAGTGCAGTTATGTAGGACACAACATGATCCTATCAAGTTTCATGAGGACTCYGCCAGCAACTGATCCAGAGGTAACTCACGCAGACCTGAGAAGAGAGCTTGCCAGGGGGTACTTCCGTGTTGGACGTGGGATCTCCCCTGATGGAAATTCGTTATTCCGACCATGATTCCCATGGTGGAATCGGTTCTGTGGTTGTTGCAGAAGACACATGTTTAGTTAGTTCTTGACCTCAACAACGTAATCAATCCAGCTCAACAGCGTCGTTTTTGAAACAAATTAGATCCGACGCGATAGAAGCAGCAATAGAAGCAGGAGTTTTCGTAACAACAACACACGACGATACAAACAACAATACRAGCACCATGGTCGTGCGATTGGGATAGTTACTATCCTTAACTGGTTTGAACAGGCAACACTGTTTGGCTTGGTTCCATGAAGCAATATGAATGAATAGTGAATTAGCTGCAATTAGCTGCTATCGTACGAGCAGCCTGCTATCATACGAGCAAGCAGCTAGTAAGTACGTGATACGCRAATTAGGTTTTCATGTATACACCTGTGACCTGGCTTCYGCGTTTGTTGATATACACAAATGACGGAGTACATACCGATTTATACTGTAATGAATAAAAGTTGAGCGTTATACTGAAATGAAGAAAAGATTATGATATACAACATGTGCATGCCGATCCGAACCGTTTTCGTGGGACTTCCCACGTGCTGTTAGAGGCAAAACAGTTCTAATCCYGCATTGGTATACGGGAAAGCCTTCTCAAGAAAACCTTTAYGCAAGCAAACAGTCCCACAAACAGTTACTTGTACTGTTCTTGCTAGAAAAGTACATKGTAGCAAACTATCACGCTAAAGCTCATTGTTTCATATCAGTCGAAATACAGTGTTAGTTAGTAGTTTAGTAGTTAATTTAGTCTAACGAGGACYATGGTGCTTCTTTTCACCACCATGGGATTCTTCCTCTCCAGTGCGTTTGCGTTTGTTGTTGGAYGTTGAGGCGGCAGTCRATGCAACTGAAGGAGGACCACCAAAGGAGCGGTCGTAATGGTAGGGGGTAGGAGTGTTACCGGGTGGAGGAGGAGGAGGAGGACCACCGTAAGGACCATGGTAAGAATGTTGTTGTTGTTGCTGCCAGGTATTCATCATGGTCATAGCTGCTCCAAGAAATTTCTCCGCTACATCCTTTACACCACTCCACATCTCAATACTCCGTTGGTCTCTTCTTTCCTCTCTTTGTTCCTGCTTGATAATGTATTCATTGRATACAGCGGCGTCGGGGACAGTTTTCCTTTGTCCTTGGTAAGATCTCTTCTTTGCTGGTGTAGATTCAACAAGAGAAGGGGTCAAGTTACTGGCAGAAGCAGAGGAAGCAACAGCAGC